ATGTTCCTGTGGATGATCCAGAAGAGAGAGTGGTTTCAAATGTGGTCAGGGAGCAGCAGAGCCAGGCATGCTCCACCAGGAAAGGCAGTTGGCATCACTGGCAAAGGTGCAGACTCACTGTACCTGAGCAGGGTTATCAGAGCAGGTCTGGTGGTCAGAACCACCCTCAGCCAGCCCAGATCAAGTCTGCAGTGTTGAAGCCTTGGCCAGCACATCAGGGTGGGGGTTTGTTCTAGGGATCAAGTCAGTTTATCAGGGCTACCTTACTTTACAGCATGCATCTAAATGGCTTCCTTTTCCCTGTAAGCATTCTCTTGGAAAAAGAAAAACTGGTTAAATGGACAAGATGAGAAGCATTCTTGGAACAGAAAACCTGGTTAAATGGACAAGATGAGAAGCATTTCATCTGTAGCCATCAATCTAATCCAAGCAGGATGTTTCATATTTAACAATTACAGGGCACTACCAGGCATAATAATGCATGTGGCATGATTCAGAGAGCTCAGCTAGAAACTGCTGTTTCAAAGAGGTTTGAATTTATTTATTTATCTATTTGTTATTCTTTTTCCTTTCCTTTTTTCCCCCCATGGGTTTCAGAGGAATGCTCTTCAAGCAGTATCTCCTGCCACCATGGAAGTCTTGATGCGTGTTTTAGCAGACTGTGACAACTGGGATGACAGGAACCCTGAGGAAGTGAGCAGGAAGGCAGAGCTGACTCTCAAGTGCCTGACAGAAGTTGTCCATATCCTTCTAACCAGCAGTTCTGACCAGCGACAAGTGGAGACCAGCACAATCCTGGAGAACTATTTCAAGTTGCTCAATTCAGACCATTCAGCTTTGCCTAATCCAAGGCGGTGCAGGCAGTGGGAGAGCAGGTTCATAGCCCTGCAGATCCAGATGCTGAGTGAGTACCCAACTGTGCAGTTCCTTTAAATATCTCTTGATAATAACCCCAACACAAAGAATGATTGAACCATGCTTGCTTGGCTAAACAATGGAAAAATTTCAAAAACCTGGAAAAAAACCCCATTGAATTGCTGCCATTTAACCAGTGTTGAGGTTCTGGAGCTGCCAGTCCCCAGTAAAATAAACCTCATTAAAATAAACCCTTTGTTCTACATAACAGCTGACACCTTAATACATCAGCACCTCAGTACCTGCAGAATCAGATGGGTTTGTAATAAAATACCCACAATAGAGTCTGTTTTCAAATGGCATTATGGCCAAAACTGATGGTCTGAAGCAGGTGGGTTTCAGTTATTGAGGAAGAATTCAGGATTTGGAGGTTTTTCCACTTTGATGTTCAGTATGGGAAATGTAAATAAAGGTGTTTCTTTCCCAAACTTCCAAGAAAACAGAGGGATGGTATTGAGGTGAGGAAGAATGCTTACAGCAGAAGGCTGCTGTAGAATGCAGAGTAATTGCTTGATGAGGAAACAAATGTGTGGCTTAATAAAAGGTGTGCTGCTTATGTACTCATAAATGGCAACGACTTTAAACAGAGCCCCAAAGCAATCAGAGATAATCAGCAGCTGAATCTGACTCTGCATATGGTAGGTTATGTGATAATTTATACAGCATCAAAATGTTTAGCTTTAGGCCTAGTGCTCTCTGCTTAAAATCCACATCATTATTGATCAAAGAATTTACAGCATATAATTTGTTGTACGATTATTCCCCCCCCCCCATGTGTTGATCATGTGATGTGCAGAAGAAATGCTTGATGGGTTTGGGAAGTGTTTTGTCTTTGATGCCAGTTCTGTTTTAATTTTGTAGATACCATCACAGCCATGTTAGACTGCACAGACAGGCCTGTTCTGCAGGCAATTTTCCTGAACAGTAACTGCTTTGAGCACCTCATTCGACTGTTGCAGAACTGCAAGGTAAAATTTCCCTTATCAGCATATTTTTAACAAAACCTGTCTTGTAATATGGCAGGTATATTAAATACCTTTGTATCTTCCTTCTGAATAAGATGCAGTTTTGTAGTGTCTACATACTGGAAGTGTAATTTAGGATTGCTTAGAGCCACTAATGCCATGAAAAGATCTGAAAGGTCCAAGTTGCTCTAAACTCTGTTTTTATTCCTAATGAAGTAGATTTTTTTTCTGCCTGGTGGTTAAAGCAATGAATGCTTATTTTGAGTCTTGAGCAAAATACCTTTACAGGCTCCACTCAGTGTCTAAAATCTTTCAAGGTTTGGAATCAATCCCCTTCATTATTTTTTTTCTTAATTTAAATATTGTGTCACTGAGTTTCTAGGAAGTCACTTTCAAATGCTGCCAGGGAATGGTCTGAATTCTGATTGCACAGGTAGATTTTGCCATTGACAAAGGCACACCAGCAAGGGTTTTTCAAGTGTTTCAAGATATTTGAGTCTTGTGTAGCTGACATAAAACATGAATTCAAGCTGTCACATATTGTTCTTCTCCTTCTACACAGGATTTGGTGTTTACATAAATGTTTTCATCTCAATCCTAGATGGTCATAACTTGCAAGCTGGAGTCTTCCAGGGGTTGCTTTCTAGATTTCATTTTTCTCCTGTGCAAAATAACATGGATATAATGTGACTCTGGAGTATTTTATTCCTCTTTTTTTGTGCTATGTTGGTGGCATAGCTATTTTGAGCTCTTCTGATGCTAGATAATTGAATGCTACCTGCAGCATAATTCAAATCCCTTTAGATTCTGGATCAGAACATATTTCAGTGCAGTGATATGAGGCAAACATTTATTTTTTTAATATGTTTTAACTGTAGTTACACTCAGTGGCAGAATATCAGCTGACCTGGTGTTTTGAATTGTGTTAGGGTTGGGGTTTTTTCATCTCCTCCTGTTTGAGTTTTCCATTCTCCTCCCCTGGGAATCTCTGCCTCTTTTTGTACTGGCCTTGGACCTTCTAAGAAATCTCTTTTCTAGTTTCTTCTTGAGTCATCAAGCAGTGTGATGTTTACCTGTTTGTGGAGCCTCTAGCTATGTTCTTACTCTCATATAAACAAGTTGGTGGAATTAAGGACAGCAGGAACAGCTACTCTATTTTTGCAGCATACTCCTTTTTTGCCTGTTTTAAGATATGATCTTGGAGGATTTTTTCTTGTGATAGTCTCAGGTATGACTGGAATTGATGGGGTGACAGTACAGTTTGCTGCATAGTGGTTTTTTTTTAACCTTTCACTGTCAAAATCCCCCCAAGGATGTGGAGGGGGTGGAGGCTGGCAATGTGTTGTGCATTTGTATTTTCCAGGATGCTGTATCCACTGTACTCTGTTCTTTTTCAAAGCCAAATGATGAATTTAGCCATGGAATTAGGATTTCTCCTTATTAGCTGGTGTTAAAGACCCTATTTCTAGTTCTTTTTTCTTTGGCTTTGAAAATCTTGGTGCTGGATTCACCAAAGAGCTGTGTCAAGGCAACCCTGCAGATAGCAGAAGAGTCTGAAACTCAGGGGGCTGTTGGATCTTCACCAAATTTGAAGTTTTCTTTGCCTTTGAAAATCTTGGTACTGGATTCACCAGAGAGCTGTCTAAAGTGTGTTCTGCAACCCTGCAGATAGCAGAAGAGTCTGAAACTCAAGGGGGCTGTTGGATCTTCACCAAATTTGAAGTGTAAAAGGTTTCCATGGAAAGAAGGCAGAAAGAAAACCCATACCATTATTTCTGCTATAGATATCCCAAAACACTTGGGATATTATAGGTCATATTTCTAGTCATGCTTCCTAGTCATTTGCAGTTCAACAGCCTTCTAAAATGTAAACTTTTTTTCCTTATTTGCTTGTTTTAAGGCTTCTAGGCAGACTCTCTGCCCTTAGCTCTGCTCCAGGGTTAGAGGTGTGCATGGAAGCTGTTCAAAACTGTTCAGTTTTGATCTCAGGGCTGCTTTTTGCTTGACTTGTGGAAAGAGGTAGTCTGCTTTAGAGTTATCAGGCTTACTCTGTGCTGAGAGTCATTTAACAAGCTGCTTTATCTGTCCTGAATCTTTTCTAACCTACTAAACTTTCTTGGAGGTCAGGCTTTGAACAAAGCACTGCTAGTAGTATGAGTAGTTTAAAAAGATTTCTTTGAGCAGCTTTTTAAATGGAAGAATTAAAACCCTGTGGACACTGTAATAAAAATCTACATTACCATTTTATGTGCATTATCAGAATTGACTTAACCTTGTGAAAAATTTCATATTTTTTTCTTTTTTTGCATGTCTACCTTTGCTTCTGTTTAATGTTCTTATTTCCACTTGTTAATGTTACAATCCTCTGAGGCATATCATAGTTATTCTGTAGTGTGAAGTGATCTGGAGTGTAATGTACCTTTCAAAGTGACTTGTGTTTAACTCTGTGCTTTCATACCTATGTTATCAAAGTGATATCTTGGATGTTGTCCTTCTGTTTGCCCTTACTTATGGAAGTTGATTTCTCAGGTTGTTCCTCTTCAGAGAGACTACATAACAGATAATGAAACAAAATGTTTCAGGGGGAAAAAAAAAATGCTCAGTTTTTACTCACTAAAGGAAAGTGTTGTTGCTTTTTTTTTGATTTTAAGGAACTTTTAAAACATTTTGATCAGGAATTTTTCTAACACCTCAATAGAATCTAGAAACAAAAGGAAGTAAATTTTAGTCCTGAGATGTTTTACCCTTCTTCCTGTCTTAAAGTCTGTGTGCTCCAGAAACTCTGCTGCTGTTGCTGTTGGAAGATTAAAATATTCTCTCTAGGTATCTTCAGCCTTCACCTAGGATGGCAACATAAGTGGAAAATGGTGAAACATCTGTATCTGTTTCTTTGCTAATGCCCCACTGTTGTCTTCATTTGTTGCAAGTAGATTTCCTGACACCTTCCTGTCAGGTTGTATGTTGTAAATGAAATCACATTTGCTGAGGCAGTGGTCAGTAAGATCCCAGAGACACATATTTCCTTATTTCAGTGATTGCATATTTTCATTTAGTCCTTGGAAGAGTAAAAAAGCAAAAATACAATATAATTTCTGGTATTGCAAGAATTAACAGAAGGCTAATGTTTGTGGAGAACAGCATCTTCCTGGTGTGAGAAGTCATTTTTTTTATGTAAAATACAAATCCAAGGCAGCCCCCACAGGTTTGACTGTTTAATGCAATTATTCCCATTATTCTTGTCTCTGTTTCTAACAGCTATTTTTAAATGCTAACAATAAAGTGGCAGACAAGAGTGAGAAAGACCTTGCCAACAAATTACTGACAGAAATGAATGAGGACCAGGTACCTACCTAACCTGTATTTTGCTTCAGTCCAAGTCAAGACACAATCACAGGAAAATTGATTTCTGTGCTTCACCTTAACCACCCTCTACAAGCCTCCTGCAGCAAGGTGAACTTCTGTTGCTGCACACTATTTCCTACCTCTGGAAAAGATTTTTTTTTTTTAAATAACAGATATAATTTAACCTCAGTTTTATTAATCTCCTTCAAATTGCCAATATTTGTAATAGCTTGAGCCTCCATTATGCTTCTTTAAGGAAAAGGTGAAGTACATGAATAGAATACAAATAAATTCTATCAGCCTGGTGGTGATTTTTTTTTTTCTCTTTCTCCTTCCTCTCCTCTTTTTTGCTTCTTTGTCTTCAGCACTGTGGTGTTTTGGATTCTGGGGCCTTGTTTGTGAATCTGAATAGTTTGTATTTCATGTTCTGATTCTTTGCTTGTAATCAAGAGTAGATGTTCACAAAGCAATGGACAGGCTGAATCAGGGAGGTAGGAATAGCCTGTTGCTTTGATTTTTCTCAGTCTTGTGCAATGTTTCAAATGCAAATGGTTGTTGTATTAATTTTGTGGTAGAATTATTTGTTCTGATGAAAAGTGTAAAGAAGTGTTAAACACAGGGTATGATAATCTACCAGTTGTGATTCTAACCAATAGCTTTGGCTTTTTTAGAAACACAGTGCAACAGTCTAACTGCATGGAAATGTTCCTTCAAATCTAACACAAGTCCTCTGATTCTTGACATTTCCCTTTCAAAACATGATCTGATATACCTATAACAATTCAGAGATGATGACACAGAGTATGTTTGTTGGCACAGCTTTGCTAATTAGGTTCACTGATGGATGCAAAATAGTGCTCCAATGTTTTTGTCCTTTAAACCACCATAGAAATATCAATATAAACAAGAAATAGCAGGGGAAAAAAAACCCCAAACAAATCAAAAGATGACTTAAATTGGGAAAAGAGATGTCAATCAGTGCAGTGAGGCTCTGGGCGAGGAAACCACCTCACTGTACTGCTGTGGCTGATCTCTTATTTGTGTGTGTGTGTTGCATTGGGGTGTCAGGACTTGGGTGGAAAAGGGAACACTTGATGTGAACTGCAGGTGCCTGCTTGTCCAGCAGCACCCACCCACACACACACACACACACACTGTGAGCTTTCCTGGTGTGTTTTCCTCCCTCCCTCTTGAGGTTGTCCATTAGCCGCATGAGGGACACGTGTTTGTCCACCAGACTATCTGAAGTGCCTGTTGTGAACCTGTCTCTCCTCTTGAAGCACGTGGCTGGTCGTGTCCTGTTCTGTAACTCCTTGTAGGCTCTGAGGTTCTGAAGCCTTGTCTGGTGGGGAGATGATTTTTGAGGCATGTTAGCAAACCCTTGGTTTCCCTCCTGGCAGGAGGGCACAATATAGATCTTGGAGCTGAACTCTCTTTGTGCATTTGTCTATAACTTCTGTACCTGCTACTTCCAGGTGTTCCAGGGCCACCTAGACAGCCTGGCAGTATCAACCATTCAAGCCCTCACAGCAGTCATGCACAAGTCTCCAGCTGCTAAGGTAACAGTATAGATGCAGAAGTCTGCAGTAGGCTTCCAGATCTTGTTTCCAGTGAAGTTTTTTATCTGAGTATCTTGATAATGAAGATGGGCAGGTTGTGGTCACTCATTCCTGCCAGATAGGAGTAGCTGATTAGCATCCCTTATCCTTTATCTTTTTATAGGTGTCTAATAGCTGGACATTAAGGCATCTTTCTATCAAAAGTGACCTATAAGCATCCCTTATCCTTTATCTTTTTATAGGTGTCTAATAGCTGGACATTAAGGCATCTTTCTATCAAAATTGGAAGATCACAGTGTTAGCAGCTGGAACCTTTGTAAAGGAAGTACATCATTGCTTGTCCCATGGATATGTGGGGTAGAATTCATGGGTATCAGCAAAGTTTGTGTTGTAGTTTTATCATGGCTTACAAACTGACCCTGGGTGCTATTGCTGTCCAAATTGTGGGTTTGTTGTTCCCCTGCCCTTCCTTTCTAGTTATTCTTGTGGTTTGATAAATAAATAGGTTGTGGTTAGTTTGGGAATCTAACTGGAAGCTAAGCCCACAGAAAAAGAGTGTATTTATTTGTAGGTTGCCAAGTTCATTAGATTCTCTCTGGGACTGAGCAATTCCCTAGTCTTGGCACAGGGAAAGCAATGTGTCTGTACCATGGAGGCTGAAGGAGGAGCAGGAGTCATCTGATTTGGGTGCTGCTTGCACTGCAGTCTGAGTGAGAGATGACAGGGACAGTTCTACTCCTCCAGCACATCACTCTCCTGCCTCTGGAATGAGTGGGAGGAGTTGTATGCTGGAGGTGGGGACAGGCTGTGGTTCCCAAAGGGTCAGTAAAGCCTGAAATTCTACTTCCACTGCAGCAGAGGTATTTCTTTCCATATTTACCTAAGCAATCATCCCACTTCTGCTAAGAGTTTCATCCTTTGACAAAAAGAAAAGGTCTCAGTGCAGAATACAGCTGGGAGAGGAGTATCATTTCTGTGTGATGTGATAACTGCTTGCTGACTAAACCATGAATGGACACTACAGTGAGGATTTTGATTGTCTCTTGCTGTTTGGTGCCTTTTTTTTTCTTCCTATAAGTTTTCAGAAAAACTTGGAATGCTTTTTAAATTCTTTTGAAGTGTTTAGGATGGGTGGTCTTTCATCAGGCTGGTCTAGGAAAGTCACTCAAAAATTAGTATTTGAATGATTCAAATTCTCAGTGTAGTAATTTCATCTCATGCTATAGTTTGTGTTAAAAAAATGAAGCCATTAGTCTTTTGTGACAGAATTAGCATTTTGATGATACCAAAGCAATTATGCTCTTGTAGAGGTAATTAATAAAAGATAACTTTGATCTTTTGTTTGTTTATCTGCATGCTGCAGTGAGATCCAGGTAGCCTAGTGGACATACCATGAAAAAGAGTTTTCTAGCCTGTAAAATGTTTCCTTGCTTTCTAATCACTTTGTGTCTAATTATTGTGTTAAATTAGAACCTGCTGCAGTAGGAGAGCAATTTTTGTCCCTTTTATTTGTCAGTGAGACTGGGATTTGTCTCCTTAGGAGGTCTTCAAGGAGAGGATTGGCTATGCACACATGCATGAGGTACTCAAATCACTGGGTCAGCCCTCACGGGAGCTGCTGGAAGAACTCATGAACATGGTGAGATGTGCTTGCTGTGAATGCTGAGCTGCCTGCACCTTCTCAACACTACTTCTGCCCATGTTTTATTGTCTTTCATGTCTGAGTCCTCTGCTGTTTTTCAGGCTGTTGAAGGGGACCACATGGCTGTTGGGATACTAGGCATTAGCAATGTCCAGCCCTTGTTGCTGCTTATCCAGTGGCTTCCAGAACTAGAATCACACGAGCTGCAGATTTTCATCTCCAACTGGCTGAAGCGAATCTGCTGCATTAACAGCCAGAGTCGTGCCACGTGTGTCAATGCCAACATGGTCATCTGCATCATTGAGGCACTAAACTCCCACTCTGCTCTCCACTGCTCTTGTGCAGAGAACCTCATTGCCCTCCTGGGCTCTTTGGGGAGCCAGTCCATGGGCTCAGAAGAACTCCTTCAACTCCTACGGCTCCTGAGGACCGAGGAGCCAAACCAAGCTCACCCTTATGTTGTTCCAGTGATGAGAGCTATTCTGGCAATGGCCAGGAAGCAGGGCATGGCTAGTGCCTTGCAGTACTTCAACTTGTCCCACAGCATGGCTGGAATTGCTGTTCCATCAATTCATAAGTGGCCAGGCTCTGCATTTTCTTTCAATGCTTGGCTCTGCCTTGACCAGGACCAGGTGGATCCTAGCACGACCAGCAAAAGTGGCAAGAGGAAGCAACTCTATAGGTATAGTTACTCTAATACTTCACCAGCACAAATCTAGGCCATCTGTTCCCTGTGGCATGTGGTACTTCTGCTTATCTTCATAGAATGCAGCATCTAGGGCTTCGTTTGTGGAAGGGAGCACTTTGTTCTGTCACCAGAGCCAGGCTGTGTGACAGAAATAAGCATGTGGTTGGTCAGTTCTAATGCTTTCTGCTCTACAGTTTCCACATCCCCAACTCCAAATGGTGTTCAGGTTCACAGCTTCAACAGGCAGAAAACAACACTTAAAAATCAACCTCTAAAAGCCTCCACTCCAAACCAGAACTTCCCACTGCTCCCTGTGAAGGGAGGTAATGAAATCTGCTGTAAGAGCACAATGGAAAGGACACCTTCATTTGCTTAAATCAGACACTTGGCATGGATGGTTCTGGGTATAACAACTTTCTGGCTGCTGACATTCAGCAGCAAGCAAAATGCAAAATGGGTTTTGGGGGAAATGTTGAAGAATGGAATTCTATTCATGCTAGACTTAGTATTTTCCAACCCCCTGTGCCTTAGTGTGTTAGCTTTTGAATATTAGTAGCTGTGGTGGCAGGTGGAGAGCCCTTGGATTGCTGTGGCTGCCCTGTCTGGTTGCATAGCACAGCCCTGGTGAAGGGTGTCACCTAAGGAGCCTGTCACAACACTGTTTCCAGAGTTTTCAGTGCATCCCTGTACTTCCAGAAAAGACTTTCTAAAAAAAAGACTTTTAAAAGAAACAAAAGTGTAGACTGCACTTCCAGAAAACTAGGGTGGAATTGCACTAAAATGTTAAAACTGTGATTGGATTTCAGGGTCATGATGTGCCAATAGCTGACTGATTTTCTGTCATTTTACATACAGTTTGGAAGACATTATTCTAGTTCTGGGAAGCTGAAACAGCAGTGCTGAAATTCATAGGGAAAAGAGGAAACATTTAAAATTCTACTTTCAGCTTGAGATGTTAAGCACACAAGTCAAATGATGAAAAGTTGATCTAGCTGCTATCTTATGTCTGTTGAGATGGTCCATAATATTCATGCTCTGTGTGTCTATTTGTGGTTTGTACTGAGAGATGCAGGTATTTAATAGTAGAATAGTTGATGCATCCACTTGGAATAGTGGTGCCCAGAAGTGCAGAGCTGGTTTTGACACCTGTTCACCATTTATATAATTCTTGGTATTCAAAAAGGAAAGCTCAGAGCAAATCTGTGCTCACAGAGCTTATTTAGAGCTGCTGACATTTCCTTCATTGTGTGAGGGAAATAAGATGTGTAAGAATGACTACATTTACAATTTGCACTAAGGTTCTTGCTGATGGATAATCAGGGATAAAAAAGAATCACAGATGACACTTAGTGTCTCATTAAAACAGTTTTAATGCAGATTTTTCTATGAAATTAAAAATGGAACTTTCTGCATTTTCTAGAAGAGTTCTTCCAGGTGCTGTTTTGGTCTAAAAGAAATGTCTGTAGGTGATGCTGTGATGTGAAGCAAGGGAAAACTGGAGAAAACCTGTTTACTGACTGTAGCAGTATGAATCTGGATGCAGAACTGAGCTGATAAAAAGCAGCCCAGGTTGTGGGCCAGTCTCCTCTTTGTCATAACATTGTGGCTTCCAGAGACTGCAGCAGGCAGGACTTAGCAGCAGAGCCACCTTAAGCTGTGTGGGTCAGACTGAAGCACTGCTTGTTGGGACTGAGGTGGTGTTTGACCCACACACCCTGTGCCTTGGGGCTCCATCCTTGAGGCAGCTTTTCATCTTGGGGTTTTTTTGGAGCAAGAGTTAACAGCCACTCAATGAGTAAATATTGAACCAGCCACAAACAGCTTCAGTTGGTTCTCTCCTTAATGAACGTACTGGTGGGTGATTTTTCAGCAGTTTTGATGAAGTCAGTCCTTGATTGTGTGTTCTGTTGTCTTTCTGTAGCTTTTTTACAGGCAGTGGCATGGGTTTTGAGGCATTTATCACATACTCTGGGGTGCTGGTGGTTGCAGTTTGCACAAAGAGAGAATATGCAACAGTGATGCTTCCTGACCATTGCTTCTTTGACTCTCTCTGGGTAAGATGAGATCCTGAAAAACACTTTGTTTGGGATACTACTGTTAGCTCAGAAGTCAAAGTTCTCTTTTTTTGGTTGTTTTACAGATGATTTATTTTATCATGTTTAAATAATTCTGTAAGAACAGATCTAGTCTCAACACAAGGAGTTTCCACATAGCTCAGTGACTGAGCTAAATTAGGCCTCTGTTTTTAGGCATTTCTTCTTGATAAGCTGGTTACAGCATTGTGCTTAGAGATTTTTTTAACATGCAGAGTTTTTAAATATTAAATTATAACAAGCTAAGGTGACTTGTGAATGAATAAAATGTGCTACTGTGTTTCTGCTCTGCTTTTTGCTATTCTCATACCTAAGGATTGTGTGTTAGCAGGAAGAAGTTGTATTTCTTTCCCTTGAAAAACCAGTTTACATGTAAATACTTCAAAATGGAAGCAGCTGATAGGTGGTCTTATCATCTTCTTGGGGTGTTGGATGCATTTCCTTAAGTGGTTTCCTCACCAGATTGGTAGAACTGAAGTTAAATATTTCCATAAGGTCATTTGACTGCTTTTTAATGACTTAATTATTTCCTATTGCTTAACCAGCACAACATAACTATTGTTCACATGCCTGGGAAGAGGCCCTTTGGTCAGAGCCTTGTGTACATCTATGTCAATGGGCAGCAGAAGGTCTCTGCCCCTCTTCGATTCCCTGCCATGAATGAAGTAAGTTCCACCTTCTGACTCATACCCCTCTTGTCATGAGCTCTCACAGAACAGTGAAAACATAGATGGCTTTTTGAATTTGGAAATTGTGTAGGAGTTTAAGACTTCTTCATCTATTGCTAGTAAGCTTCTGTTCAAATTTGGACCATGTCCAGAGTATCATCTTGGAGTATAACTAACCATTAATGCTTGTTTATCTATCTCAGTTTTAAAAACAAAACCTTGATTAGATAGTGGGGTTTTCCTCAGAATAATTACCTGAGCACACTGACATAATTTGGGTAAATGGTAATAAATAGCAGCTTTGCCAGTGGGGCAGTGCACAGTGAGGAATATCCCCTGTTATTTTCAGAAGTAACTTTTTTTCACTTGTCTTTTCTGTATATTCTCTTAATGTGCTCATCTTATACCTGCTTCGTGTAAGGATGAACACTTTACACACAGTTAATCTAAGCATTTCAAATCTGTGCACATTTAGCCTAAAATAGCACTAAAATAGCCATCAAAATGAGTACATGTTATGTTAAGTTTTCATTGTAAGCATTGTCCATTCTTATTGTGGAACAAATCCATTTCAAGCTGGACTACAACAGTGAACACTCTTCTGTCTCTCCTAAGTCCTGGTTTGATATTTGTTAAATATGTTGACCAAACACTTAAATTGAACACAGTCATAGTAAAATCAGTATAACACTTACAAAATAAGAGTAAATGCAGTGGAAATTATAAGATAGGCCAAAATCCAGAGTCTTATCTGTAGAATAAGCACTAGAAACATCAAGGTAGCTACAAGCAGGGCAAGTAAGCTTCCCATGAGGTCACCTCTTGGAGTGGAGTGACACAGTGGAAGCACACAGTAGCAGATATGCTGGGCTACTATTTTGGAATATAATCCAGAAGAGTGTTTACCAGGGTACCTGGAGCACCATCCTTCCTGGCTGAGGTGAGGTGACCAAATTGCCCTTGGAGAAGGGGCACTCTGCTGTTGTGGAAAGTCTCCACTCTTTCTTTGGCATGCTAGAACTTGTTGCTTTGGTTTAATTTATTTAGTTCAGGTTTGCCAGAGATAGTGTTCAGATTTCCTGTGTAAACTGTGAAAAAAAGGTAAGATTTACACTATGTGTTTTTTTCTTTCTCTCTTTCATGCATGCCTCTCCAGTCTTTTACTTCTTGCTGCATTGGTTCAGCTGGGCAGAGAACAACAACTCCTCCTCCATCTCAGATACCAGATCCTCCCTTCTCCTCCCCCATCCTGCCACATAGGACATCCCTTGGGGGGATTCTCTCTACAGGAGGCTGGGGAGGGATGCTTGGAAAACCAGAGCTCATCACCAAGATGATCTCAGCAGGGACTCAGGACAGTGAGTGGGGATGCCCAACATCTTTGGAGGGCCAGCTTGGATCAGTTATCATCTTTCATGAAGCACTGCAGCCTCCTCAGGTGAAAGCATTGTATTTAGCAGGTAAGTGGGGGTTGTACTGGTTTTACTGGAATAAAAAGGATGAGTTATGGATAAGATTCCACTGAGTTTTGCTCTACATAGACACATAATGAAGAAGTTACAATCCAGAAGGATTGCAGAGCTGGCCTAAGTGAGAAGGATTGCAGAACTGGCCTAAGTGAGAGGCCTTTATAACAAAAAGGGGGATGATAAGTATTTTATGAAATTTTATTTAAAATACTATGTTTAAGCTCATCTGTTGTATGTACAGACTTGCCAAAATCAAGATGTTAAGTAGTATTTTCATTTGTAAGTTCTAGATTTTTGCTACTGTTTGCTAACATGTTACAGTTGAGACTCTGTTTTGATAGGCCACTTAAAGGGGATTTAGATTTGAGGATTTTTCCACAAGAATCAATTAATAATTATGGGGTCATTAAAAAAAAAAAATTTGATTAGCTATGTCTTACAGTTCAAAGTGTTAAGTTATTAAGTTCATGACTTAATAACTTAACACTTTGATGACTTAATAACATGACTTCAAGTTAATGACTTGAAGCAGCTAGAGTTTAGCATAAAAACACTTCCAGCATTTAAAGGAAATATTTTGTATAACTAAACTAAAACTAAAAGTTTTAAAAACTAAAAGTTTTTGTATAAACAAAAACTGTCTTGAAGATGCCTTATTTTCTGGATGTTTGGGCTTCATCACAGAGATGTTGGTGACAAATATGTGATAGATATTTGTTAAGACAGAAATATTAGAGCTGTTTGAATGTATTAAAAAACCCCTTTGTATAGTTTAGCTTTTATCCAGAATGTATTTCTTTTTAAGCAGACCCTATAGAATGAGTGATTTGATTGATTTTAATCAGTCTACTTCAAATCATGTCTAAAATAAGTATAGTTCAGAGTGTGCTGTTTGTTGTTTTAACAAAATATAGTAGTATAAAATCTGTGCAGGTCAACATGAATATCCAGTGGATTCTTAAACATGTAATTTTGGGGTTTTTTTAATAGGTCCAAACTGTTTAACTCCATGGAAGTCTCAAGAGGCTGAAGTAGCAGATCTCCCCAGTAAAGTGCTGCTTCATTATACACCAAAGGTATCACACAACACATAATTTCTCTTCAATTACAGCAATTTCAGAGTATGTTCTAGGTGTTTTTTTTATTCTTGCTGTTTCATAGAAGAGATAAGCTTGCCATCTTTATGCTGTAGTTGTGCTGGGAAGATAAGGAGCAGTGAGAGCTTTCTTAAACTGTAGTCTTGTGTGGAGATAGTAGGTTTGGTTTTGTCTAGTAGGAAGGCCAAGGGACTCTTGGAGTTAAAGCTGGCCAAGGATTTAAAGACAACAAGAATGGCTTCTTCAAGTATCTCAGTAGCAAAAGGAAGAGTAGGGAAAATGTGGAGCCACTGCTGAGTGGGGTGGGAGCCCTGGTGGCAGAGGATGCAGCAAGGCAGAGTCACTGAATGCCCTCCTTGCTTCAGGCTGTAGATAAAACCAGCCCTTGGGATCCCAGTCCATGGAGCCCAGTTGCTGCTCAGCAGTGGCCAGTGACAGGACCAAGGGGCAGCAGGGCCAAGTGAACACAGGAAATTCCACCTCAACAGCAGGAACAACTTTCCTGTGAGGGTGACAGAGCACTGGAACAGGCTGCCCAGAGAGGCTGTGGAGTCTCCTTCACTGGAAACTCAAAGCCCACCTGGCTGTGACCCTGTACCAGCTGCTTTGGGTAAACCTGTTTCAGCAGTGGGGTTGGAGGAGATGATCTCCAGAGGTCCCTTCCAGCCCCTACCACTTTGATTCTCATTTGGGAAAAGGACAGAATGATCTTGTATCATTGTGAATGTGAATTCTAATAACATATATGATGTTCCCAGGGGTCCTAATTGCTTAAATACTTTAATATCAACACAATGGCACTAACATCCTGAAACATATTATGAATCTTACATGTTCAAGGACCTGACTTATTTCCTAAATGATCTTGTAGCTTCTTCATTCTCTTTCACAGGCCTGCAGAAACCCAATCTGTCTGGACCTGTCTGCAAATCTCCTACATGGAAGACTAACTGGAAACAAAGTGGTAAACTGGGACATCAAGGTAAACACACACTGAAGAAGCAGAACCTGATGTAAATCTGACAGTGGTTGTCTATGTTCACCTAACTTTTGGGATGCTGGAAGAGACCCTAAGGCAAATGACATTTAGCAGATACAGCATGTTTTTGTAATGAGGATGAATAGGTTAATGGGGTAGCTGGAGTAGTGTGACATGAAGTTTGTTGAGAATTTACAAGGGCTACTACTCTTAATGCTGTAGATAATGCATTGAGGTATTTTGTGGCAGCTGACTATTTTCATAATCCTTTCAATGCATGCTGTATATTGAAAAGATTTTATCATCTCTAGGGGATTCTGTTGTGGGTTTCTTACAGTCTTAAACTCTGAATTGGATTAATGTTAGTAGGGCTAACACTTGTGTCTTTTGCTATGTGTTATTGAATTGCAGACTGACTTCAGCAGAAAACAAAGTGTGGAGTAAAAATATTCCAAGAATCTAGCAGTTTTTTAATCTAATCTAAGTTACTTTTGGTTTGAGTTTGACAGGACTAGATTATCTCACTGTCCAAAAGCCTCACAATCTAGCATTTTTTTTAGTTTAATCTAACTAATCTAAGTTACTTTTGGTTTGAGTTTGACAGGACTAGATTATCTCACTGTCCAAAAGCCTCACTTCAGAGAAAACACCAAATCTTCACTAAAGTATTACACCTTACTCTGTCTCTGCTGTATGCTAGTTGTTCAATGTTTTTCTTTCTTGGCTACATTGGGATTTCTGATTCTTACATGTTTTTCCTTCTTGTTGGCTACATTGGGATTTCTGATTCTTATGGACTGTGCAAATCATCTTTAACTTCTGCCAGCAGTTATAATCAGAGCACAACTGCTACACTAGCACTGGAGCTTTATCATTTCCTGGCTAAACCTGTTTATAGTCTCCTGCTCAAACATCCTATTACAGCAAAACTGTTCCATATTTTGGTTTTGGTTCTTTCTGTTTTGTTAAAAAACATATATAGGGTCCTTATGTCCTTCTGGTCAGTCAGTTAATTCTTTAGTCTCGTGCCAGTGACAGTTCAAATCTGACTTTATGCTGTAGAGTTACCACTCAGCCACTGCCACTGGGATTTAGTGATAGTAGTTTAGACTTTCTTGGTGCTCCACACACAAATATCATTTATGAATCCATTAGATGTCTTCTGTATAAAAAAACAAATGGTCATCTACTTGCTGGTTCATGGAGAGGAGGAGGAAACCATGAAGTTGACTCCAGCTTAATAATACCTTTGTCTACCTGTCTGCTGATTTGTTCCCTGACCACTAAGATATTAATATTAAAAATTAAACTCAGGTTTAGCTCTGTATATGAGGAAATCAGAGACATAAATAAGGATTTATTTCTTTTAAATTGAGTAGATTACAGCCACTTCTGTTTTATAGGCAGAATCTTTGACTGAGGGCTCTTAGCTTCAGGGACAAAATAAAATCCAAAGTCTGAGTGTAGAAAAGTTGCCAGTAGAATGCCACATCTTTTGTTTTTTTTGTCTTGAGGAAAAGTGTATGAACAAATTAGCTGCTTTTTTATCTTTTTGTTTTTTTAAAGGCCAGGGAACAATCAACTGCACTTGCAAACTACTCAGTAAGGAATTGTTGTTGGAGCTACACTGTGCACATGCTGACTTGTGGAGAGTAATGTAAAGAAAGTTGAGACACTTTTCAGTTAATTTAGCTATGAGATGAATAATTTGAAAATATGGCAATTTGTTCTCTTCACCCAGTTGTGGAAAGAGGGTTGAGTGAGGAGTGTTTGTCTCTAGGTTTAGGGAAAGCATATTCTGAGTAAAAATTTTAGGAGAGTCAATTATTAACAAACATTGATGAGGTTTAGCACCCTTTAACTGCTCACTTCTGCTAAATTCACCTTAATCAATGTGGGTTGGAGAGGGGGCATCAGAAAGGCACATGGGGCAGAGTAACAACTGGAAAAGTAGGAGGAGAAAAGGAGTGGGATGACAAAGTGATATCCCATGTGGATGGACTGGTTTACATGATATTTGGGGTTTTTGGCTCTGAAAATTCTACTACACAGTAGTTTTGTTTGGACTAAGCTGGGCAATTGAATGTCTCTGGCTAGCTTGCTGTGACCCTGATTTTTCTAAGTGGTGTTGTGAATCATTTCTAGAAATCTTTTGATATTTAAATAAGTTAGACTCTTCCTACAAGAAGGATTATTTAAAGTCTCATGTTATGAAGAGTGCAGGGAAAGAAGGGAGCTTAGAAGATGTGGATTTTAAAAAGAGGCTTAGAATTGAGGTATATGCAAAGTTACTTAAAAAAAAATCCCAGATTGTATTATTTTAACTGCCTGAAGTTGAAACACTTGCAGGGATATGATGAAAGCAGAGATGTGTGTAATCTTTTCTTACTGCCTGCTGAAGGTAACTTAGAAACCAGAAAAATGTGTTTTCTTCTAAATACATTTGAAAAACAGGGAAGAGTCTTTCCAGGATTTATGTCCTTCAGTTTCCTGTGCTTATGTGGGGGGAGAAGGAAGGAAATGAAAAAATCCCCTCCCCAAACAAGAGCTGCCATGAAGCCATGTGTGTAGTTGTAAATTCTGATTGATCTCTGAGTCTGTAAGATTCTTTCTATTTGGAGTAAAATTCTGTTATGTAAGTTAGGGAATTTTGTTTATGGTGATTTTTTTTCTCCTTTTTCTCTTGATTTAGGATATGATCAACTGTATTGGTGGAGTAAATGTGCTGTTTCCATTGCTGGAGCAGATCTGTTTTCTTGGTGAACAGATGTCTGAGAAGTCTGAAGGAGAAACTCTACCTCCAGAACTAGTTACTCCTGTGGAGGGAGATTGGGTGGTGTTGTCATCTACAAAGGCATCAGGTAGGAAAGTAAAGTTGGAATTAAATAATTTTTAAGCTTGATTTTAAGTCTTCCTGTGAGTGACAGAAAGCAGTTTTATTATGTGCTGGCTTTTCTGGAGTACTGACAGCTGAAAGGCTCTTTCTGTTCCTGGATGTCTGCTGTGGATACTGAATATCAAGAAATCAGCACTATGTAAAATCAGTGTAAAAAGAGCTGTATTTGGTATATATTATTAATAGCATTAGTTTTCTTTTCATGACTTACTAGTACTTACTAGTGTACTAGTACTGATGTACTTTATTAGTGTAAAAATAAGTTTAAAATTTCTATTCTGAAAAGTTTGTTCTTATTTTGAGGAACTGTTTGATGCAAAGCCTACTTACATCAACAGGAGGAGCTTTCCTACAACTTGAGTGCTGGATCAGACAGCCACACAAAGGCTTTGCAGCATCAGAACACAGTTGTTTAGCCTTTAGCCAAACTTTTATTTTCTTAGGAAAATGTTCAGACTCCTGCCTCTTCCACACAGAGCTGGATTTGAGTATGAATGGAACAAAAAAAGGCAAAAATATTTTTAAGAATGGAATTTTAAAAACTACTAATACTGAGAATGAACTTAGATCTTTAACAGACACCACTGGGAGATCAGACCTTGCAAGGGAAAAGAGCATTTTTTTTGTTTCAAATCTGCAATAGTGGAGTAGAGTAAAAAAATGTCTCTCTTTCTCTCTGTCTTATTAATTTTTTGTGTGTCATGGCTAGAAAGTGTCAGTTTGCAGCTACAGAGGGAGAAGAACTGCAGCATAAGTAAAAGATTGTAGCTGAAAGAGTTTTTGTGCAACCTCCAGGCAGATTTAAAGCAACTGAAGCCAGGATTGGGGTCCCTTGTTTCTGGAGATGCATGGAATGACTGTGACCACACTGGAAAAATCTCAAGCCAGCCTTCTACAGCTAGGGAACAAACAGAAAGGGATTTGGGGAGTTCAGGAACTAGTGAGGAATAGGAACATGTGATTTTACTCTTCCTTCTCTGCTTCATGCAGTGGTCCAATGCTAAAGAGTGAGGCTTTTGCTCCTCTTCTGTTTTGCAGAAGCACGCCTGGAGAAGAACATTGTTGCAACTTTCATCTTGATGATAAAACACTTCATACAGAGACACCACGTGAATCAAGAAAATCTCATTCACTCCCATGGAGTTGCCACCCTAGGAGCCTTGTTACAGAAGGTAGGCAGATTTGAGAAAGGTCCTTTCCTCATGATTGTTGTGGATGAGGTCCTGAATACTTGGAAACATTCTTTGGCCAAGATGTGAGGGTCTTTCAAGATCTTAATCCAGGCTTATCTTTCACATGTTTCTGAAAACAAAAACATGTGAGGAGTTGGTCTTGATCTGCAAAATGAAATGGGGTGTTTTGTCTTTGTCCATGTTCTGCTTTTTTGTTATAGGTACTGTTTTATGATGATTCAACCAGACTGGTTTTGTGTTTCTTGTATTGCTTTGATGGAAGCAGATGTTCCTATAGGAGACTCTCAGAATTTCATTTAAAGAAAAAATGAAGTTTAATAGGTCACTGAGTATTTTGAGGGCTAATGCCTGTTGCTCTTTTGACAGGTGCCAAGCAGCTTAATGGATGTGAATGTACTGATGGCTGTGCAGTTGTTGATAGAACAAGTCTCAGTGGAAAAAAACATGCAGCTTTTGCAACAGATGTATCAACACTTACTTTTTGACTTCAGTATCTGGAACAGTGGGGACTTCCCCTTCAGAATTGGTAAGCTCTTGGATTTGGGCAATTGTGCAAAGACACAGTGCTCTTCACTTGAGGTGAATCTTTAGGTTCTAACAGAAAACTTTATGTTGTAGGGCATATACAATATCTTTCTACAATCATCAAAGACAGCAGAAGACTCTTCAGGAAGAAATATGGTGTGCAGTTTCTTCTAGACACACTCAGGATTTATTATGGGTATGACTTTTACCCTTTCTAATTCATTTATTGTATGTGGCTCTTGTTTCCCCCCCATCATTATAGTGAGAAAGTTAATAAATAAAACTGCAGATTGGCTTTTGGTGGCTGATTTAATTTTCAAAATGGCATTAAGTTTTTTTTTTTTCCCGTTTGACTTTTTAGTTTTCCTTAACTTCAATTTTTAGGGTAGGATCCTATAAAACTTAATTCAAAGATGGTGGAAATGCTTGGAAAAGTTACTAAAATTGCAAAATTTAAGGGCTTGTTATCAACAATGCAAATTGTCATAGACATGACTATTATGAAAAGAGAGAGTGTTTATCATTTTTAAGTTCTTTTATATCATTGTAGAGTTTGGAGTAAGACTTTTTTAGGAATTTCAGTCTTTGGCTTTCAGTCTTGGTGATTTTTATCTGCATGTAAATAGAGTTATGTCATTGAGGAAGATTGGCTAGAGACTTTGCTTTTTCCTTTAGAGGGTGGGAGGGGGAAACCTGAAATCCTGATCCCTATCCAGGTCAGTACAAGTCTACACTGCAGGGATTTTATAGATTTGATAAGTTTGATCTAATTCTGTTCATTACAACTCAGCTGCCTGACTTCAGTAAAAACAGCTTGTGCAGTGATACCTGGATAGATGAAAACTGTCACAAATTTGGACAAAACTGTCACAATCCCATTGCTGTTGGGTGCCAAGGAGCTCCCTTAGGTTGCTTTTCCTCTCTGTGGGTGTGCAGGAGTGGCTGCAGAGACAGTGACTTGGCTCCTGATGACCTGAGGACGATACGGACATCACTCTATGGGCTGATCAAGTATTTCCTCAGCAAAGGTGGAACACATGAAGAAATACAGAGCATTGTTGGGTACATAGCTGCCACCACTGAAGAGGAGCAGGTATCCAGTATGGCTTAAATTAATGATTTTAGCTGTGCATGCTTTGGTTTTGCTTCTTGACATTCAGAAATCTCAAAAGTCTGTGTGCTTAGAAGAGAGGAGAGCAAAAAAAAAGAGACCACAAGTAAAATGTCACTTGATGTGTTGCCCTGTTAGGTGGAGCTGAGGCAGGTTATAGAAGCACACTGGAAACTTGACAACATTTTCTGCAGATGGCCATATTTTTACCAGCTGTTCTTTTCCCTCAAGGAGGACAGAGAGCATAGGATGGGTAATACTGCCTTTAGAAAAGTCCTCTTGGTTTACAAAACTAAATTCATTGAACTTAACTGATCAGAAGTTGTAATGATGTGGTTTCTATTTTGTAGACATCAACAGAACTTAAACTTGCTTTATAGCTATAATTATAATTTGATAATGTGTCTTATATATAGAAAAAATGTCAAAAAATCTAATTTTAAATGCAGTCATATTGAGCAGACAAAGGGTAAAATATAAAAGGAAAAAAACTTCCCCTACCAGAGCATGATGTCTGAATGAACTATGGATTAATTGGTTGTCTTCATTTTGTAGCTCTGTGGAATTCTGGATGTTCTCTTCAGCCTACTTCATTCCAGCCCCACCCCCGACCAGCTATTTCTGTTGCTTTTTGAACCAGGGAATGCTGACATTCTTTATGCTCTGTTATTGCATCAGAGATACTCTGACAGGCTGAGAGAACTCGTGTTCAAGGTAATGGATTGTATTATTTGTTGGTCAGTTCATCAGTTGGACAGAATTTGTGTTTTTCAATGGTCTCACTGCAGAAGTGAGTGCAATTGCAAAGATACTAATCATCCAAGTTTTAGGTTTTTCTTCTGTCACATGGCAAGGTGTTATTGTTTGCTGCCATAGTCACAATGGAATCAGTGTTCTCCTGAAGTTTTGGGATCCTTCCAGTATCTTAGGGGGGC